GTTCTGATTGCGGAATCAGAGAGCTGGGTTCGAATTCCATTCGAGTTTATTACAAATACACTTTAGGAAAGGCATGAATCTACGCTTCTTCCTTACATCCCAGCTATGGGTAAATGCTAGGATAGACTATAACCTTGTGTAGCAACCGGTGAAAGACAACTCGAAATTAAATCTCCAATTATGGGTTGACCATCCTTATTAACCCGTAATTGACCAACCCTCGTGAGTACTGATAGACCCTAGAAGACATGACCAATCAGGGAGGGGTTCCTCCAAGGAGTGGGAAGTCCCTGGATCTATTTGTTATAGTGGAACACACCTATTCTATAGTTAATAGACTCTCCCACCTATAATAAGCAGGAGTAGTAGTAGCAGTCGCTGAGTGAGTTGCTCAGTCAGTCAACTGGCTGATCGGTTGAACTCTCTGCCTTCGGGCGGGGAGGAACCCGAAAGAGGCTACGCCGAAGGGCGGATTCTCTTTCGGGCAGATAAACCGAACCTGAACCCGTTTATACGTGTTCAATGGGAATATTTTTGGCCGAGCCCTCGGGCTCGGAGATCCCACGTTAAACCGGCCTTGTGCCACATGATGCCCTCGTGGGGGGGGGTGACTAAATATCGAGTTGGTCAGTCAGTCGATGACAGACGACCGTTAGTCGGATATTAAAGTATCAGCCACCACAACTAGATTACTGCGTCATTAACTATTATATCAAGTTCCTAACGTTTTTGTACGTCGAACCTATTTTAGGACCGACTTAGTACAAATACAAGCCTCCACTGGGAAACCAATACATAACACTATTCTAATGTGTTTTCAGCTCTGGTACCTTTACTAGAAACCTGGTTTCGTTGTTTTTGTTATATGAGGCTTTGTGTTCCTGTTTTCAGGGCTAAATATCTTATTAAGTGGGGAGATCAGGATGCGGAACAGATGACTATAGGAAATCACTTTTTATTATAAAATTAATAAATAATATCATATTAGTATGTACTTTTGTAAATATATTGAACGTTTCAGGTGCGTGTAAAAAATTTTTTAAATTAAAATATTTTTAAGAAAACTTTTATCTCTTGATTGCGGCTCGGTTTACGGAATCAGAGAGCAGAGTTCGAATTCCAGTCGAGTTCATTACATTCACTTACGTGTTAATACCCTTAGGAAAGGTATAAATCATATTCTTCTCCTCCAGCTAAGGGTAAATTGGAGGACAGCCTGGGTTCTATAGCCTTGGGTTGCAACTGATCTAGCAGAAGGAAAAACTGTATGTAACCCTGGCGTAGCACACACAGCTAAAGGACAGGATTGTTCGCACTGATTCGATGATCTCGACTATGGCCGGCCCCCTTTTTTCATGGAGGATTGTGGGATCCTTTGAACATAATACTCGCAATAATACTGGGGAAATCTCTCTGAGGTTACACCAGTATTATTAAGGCCTCCATACCTCAGTGTATGGAGGCCGTGAGCAGCCTAGACCATATGACCCCACCCTTGGGTCCTCATATTTGTCGCCATATTTATTACAACGTTTCGGCGGTTGTACGCTTCGGCTTTCTTCAGCTGGTTGGAATGTCAAACTGAACCCTTTATTTCGCTCGCTGGGGTAGACTGTTCTAGTTCATCAAGGACACATGGCACAGTGGATAAAGGCGTTAGTTAGATCTAGTGACAGGATCCAAAGCGTGTGAGTTCAATACCTGATTAAGGCAGTGGAGAACTTGGAGAGGGAAATTAACATGAGATAACTGATAACTGACAACAATTTGACATGGCACGTGGAACTAGAACAGTCTACCCCAGCGAGCGAAATAAAGGGTTCACTTCGACATTCCAACTACCGGATGAAGGCCGGAGCATACAACGGCCGAAACGTTGTAATGAATATGGCGACAAAGATGAGGACAGTAGTCCGAATAATGTAAATAGTGTACATAATACCTCATCTCAGAAATATAGACAGAGAAGCATTTTTCCACGAAATTTCCCCAACTTAGGAGACGGAATAAAATGTAAAATTTTCATCTGAAAGCAATGATTAAAATCAATTGCTGGATATTTTTACACAAGCCCGAATCAGAAATATGCGCATGCGCAGAGATCACGCTCCGCCTATTTATGGAGCATTGATTTGCGCAGAAATATATTCGATTTAATAATCAATACGCGCAGAATTTGTTCCGATAATTGAAGAATCAGTAATAGGAGACATCATTTTGCAGAAAGTGGAAATCTATGCGTGTTAAGGCCTACTAGTTGGCTATCCTCATCGTAAGCCAACGACTAAAGGCCTTAACTTGGGATCGAAATATATATATATATATATATATATATATATATATATATATATATATCTGTATGTATGTATTATATATATTTTCGATTTTGATATATATATATATTTCGATTTATATATATATATATATTAGTGGACTCAGCAGTTTTCAGTCTGCCTGTCTGAATCATCTTCAAGAAGCGAGAGCAAGATCTAAAAGTTCA